GGCTATCCCAATTATCCTGATTTGCTCATTACACATTGTATGCAGGTATCAAAATATCACATGTACAACTATTGTATATAAAGTTAAAAAATTGAAATTGGCTATGCCAATCTCATAGTCCTCACAAGACTCCCAGAAAGCCTGTACTTAGAGCATCTTCTACTGCTGATATCGCTGCAGAGGTCAGAGGCTTAGGGAACACAACAGTCAGACTGTATAAAATCCCTACAAGTATAGGCACAAACAAAGCTAGATTGCAAAGACTAAAATATTAAACAAATACCTAATCCATCAATACACAGACAAAATTTCATGTTCACAGCATCAAAAACATTCAAAGAAATATGACCTTATCATATGGAAAAAATAAGGTGCCAGAGGCTGACCCTACAGTGATAGAGATATGCACTTTCTTAGACAAATAGTACAAAATAGCTGTTTTAAGAAGCTTTACTGACTTCAATAAAATACACAGAATCAATTCAGAGATTTATCAGAGAAATTTAACAGAGATTGCAATAATTTAAAAAAAAAAAATCAACAAGAAACCCTGGAGCTGAAAAATAAAAGAATGAAGGGAAAAATGCAATAGACATTATCAGCAGCAGAACTAATCAAGCCAAAGAATCATGAGCTTGAAGACAGAATATTTGAAAATATGCAGTCAGAGGAGAAAAAAGAATAAAAAGTAGAAAGAAAGTTTATAAGAATGATGGGACAACATCAAAAGAGCAATTATTCAGGTTATTTAGTTAAAAAGGGAAATGAAAAAGACAAGAAGGTAGAAAGCTTATTCAGAGAAATAATAACATAAACCTTCCAAACCTAAAGATATAAATATCCAGGTACAGAAAGGTAAATGGTCACCAATCACTTTCAACCCATACAAGAATACACCTAGGCATTATAATCAAACTCTCAAAGGTCAAAGACAAAGAAACAATTCTGAAAGCAATGAGAAAAAAGAAGCAAATAATAGATAAGGGAGATCTAAAATGCCTGAAAACAGACTTCTCAGTAGAAACTGTACAGACCAGGAGAGGTGAAATGATATATTCAGAGTGCTGAAGAAAAAACTGCAAAGCAAGATTACTGTTTCCAGTAAAGTTATTCTTCAACAATGAAGGAGAGAGAAAGGTTTTCCAAGACAAACAAAACTGAGAGAATTTGTTGCTACCAAACTTGTCCTACAAGAAATGTTAACAAGAGTTCTTTAGGGCAAAAGAAAAGGATACTAATGTGATTGTTACACTAATATTGTAATTGTGGTGTGTAAATCAATTAAATCTTTACTAAGAAGACTAAGAGACAAAACTACTAAAAATAATAACCACAACAATTTATTAAGAGATGAGCAATATAAAAATATAAATTGTAATATCAAAAATTCAAAATGTGGGAGGAGAGTGAAATTAATATGTATAAGGTTTTATTTGATAGTTTGTTTCTCTTTGTTTTTGTGATCAAAGCTAAGTTGGAATCAGTTTTAAGTAACTTGTTATAACTACAGAGTTTTTGTAAGCTTCATGCTAACCACAAAGCAAAAACTTATAATAGATATACTGAAAATAAAAAGCAATGAATTAAAACATACTACCAGAGAAAATCACTTAACCATAAAGGTAGACAGTGAGAAAGGATGGAACTGTAGGTCACTGTTAAGCCAGCCACAGAAAGACAAATATTGCATGTTATCATTCATATATGGGAACTGAAAAAGTGGATCTCATGGAGCTAGAGATTAAAATGGTATTTACCATGGGATGTAAAGTAAAGGCAAGGGAGGTAGGAGGAATGAAAATAAGTTGGTTAAGGGATGAAAAAACATAGATAGATAGAAAGAATAGGTTCTAGTATTTGATAGTATAATAGGGAAATTAGAGTTAACAATAATTTATTGTATATTTCAAAGCAGCTAGAAGAGAAGATTTGTAATGCTCCCAACAGAAAGAAAAGATAAATGTTTGAAGTGATGGCTATCCCAATTATCCTGATTTGCTCGTTACACATTGTATGCAGGTATCAAAATACCATATGTACAACTATTGTATAGCAATTTAAAACCTTTTAAATCCAAAAATACTTTTCAAAAAAGAAGCCTGTAAGTCCTAATGACTGTGGAGTAACCATAACACTCCTGTACTGCCTATACACACATGAAAGAAAAATCAATTTCCATTTGGAAAAAAAGATACGTCATATAAATATGATCTTAAAAATTAGAAAAAGGTATAAAAAACCCAAACTAAGAAAATAAAAGCTAAAATTGATGAAATAGAAATTTTTTACATGCAAAAAGAATGCATCAACTGAAAAGCTATTCCTTTGAGAAGACCAGTAAAAACAACAAGCTTCATGAGCCTGATTATGGCAAAATTAAAATATGCCCACAAGAGAAATTATACATGATTAGGATTGAAAAAATATAACTATAAAAGAAATAAAAATATTTTTTAAAAACTGTAAGAGCCAGGTATGATGGCTCATACCTGTAATTCCAGCACGTTGGGAGGCCAAGGCAGGAGGATGGCTTGGGGCTAGGAGTTCAAGCAACCTGTATGCCACAGTGAGACACTGTCTCTACAAAAAAAAAATAAAATAACAACTAAAAAATTAACCAGGCATAGTGGCTCATGGCTGTAGACCTAGCTACTCAGGAGGCTGAGGCAGGATGATTGCCTGAGCCTAGGAGGTTGAGGATGCAGTGATTGTACTACTATACTCTAGGCTGCGTAATGGAGTAAGACTCTGTCTCAAAAAAAATTTATAAGAATATTATATGCAAATCTGTGAAACCAATTTGAAAACTAAGAAGAAATTGCTCATTTCTTAGCACATACAAATGTCTAAAATTGACCTAAAAAATAGAAAACATTAAAAGGCCAATTTCCATAGAATAGATTTGAAAGGTGATAAATGATAGCTGTCCAAAGATGTCTGTGTTCTAATCCCTGAATATGTTAATAAAGTATGTTATTTAACCCAGAAAAATGAACTTCACGGTTGTGATTATGTTAAGGTATTCTTAGACATAGGAAGAGTACCTTGCATAATCCAGGTGGCCCCAGTGATATAACCACAAGGGTCTTTGTAAGAGGGAATGTGGTAGGCTGAATGCCCCCCAAATATATCCAATTCTTGATCCTTGGATCCTGTGAATATTACTTTATTTGGCAAAGGGATTTTGCAGGTGTGATTAAATGAGTAATTTTTTAGAATAAAAGATTATCCTGTATTAGCTGGGTGGGCCTTAAATATAATCACAAGTGTGCTTGTAAGAAGGAGAAAGAGGGAGATATGATCATTGTAAAGGGTGATGTCATCATGGAAGCAGTGAGAGATTTGAAGATGCTATACTGCTACCTTTGAAAATGGAGGAAGGTGCCATGAGCCAAGTAATGCAAGTGGCCCCTAAATGCTGGAAAGGGCAAGGAAATAGATTCTCCTCCAGAGCCTTCAGAGGGAGTGCAGTCCTGCTGATACCTTGACTTTAGCCCAGTGAAGCTGATTTTGTACTTATGACCTCCAGAACTACAGGACAATAAATTTGTGTCATCTTAAGCCCTTAAATTTGTGGTAAGTTGTTATGGTAGAAATAGGAAACTAACACAGGTCAATATTGATCTACCATTAAAACAAGGTGCCAGGACTAAATGTTTCATAACAGTGTTCTAACTCTTAAATAACAGATAGTAATAATTTTATTTAAGTTCCTTCTTTTATTTTATGAAGTCAGCATAATCCTAATACCAAAGACAGATGGAGAAGATAAATGTAAAACTCTTAAATGAATCTAGATATAAAAATTCTAAATAAATAATTAACAAACAAAATCTAGATTTTAATAAAATGAAAAATATATATTATTACTAAGTTGTGTATATTTTAGGAATGCAAATGAAAATCTAAAATCAATCACAACATCACTCATTACAGCAGCAAATTAAGGAAGATAAACTACATAATTATATCAATACTTACTGAAAAGGTATTGCTAATATTCATCCAGCTCACCTAATAATATCTCAACGTAACATAGGAATAGGAGGAAATCAATGGAAAAAAAAATGAATGACAAGTACATGAAATATATAAGTTCCCATTTATTTAATATATATTTAAGTAGTTCCCAGTACCAGGCACACTCTGGTGACACAACAGTGAACATGATGGATACAATCTGTGCTCTGCAAAGCTTACAGTACAGTAAGAGTGACAGGAAATTTATTGGAGGCTTTGATGTGGAAGAAGGATATTGAAACCCATGAAAAAACACTAAGCTCAGTCAGGGCCATGCGACAATAGAATTCCTGCAGACAGTAACAATTAAATTGAGATCTGAAAAGTGAGAAAGACATATACAGATTAAAGGGAGGGCAGGTGGAGAAAATATTTCTGGAATAGAGAATAACACTTACAAAGGCCTGGATGGGAGAGAACCAAAGTAGGTTGAGTGTGGTGGAAGTACAGAGCAAGAGCTCAGGATGATGTGATACAAACTGCTGAGAAAGGCTCAGCCCAGATCAGAAAGGCTTTGGAAGCCAAATCTAGAAGCTTGCACTTTACCCTATATGCAATGTGAAGACGTGGGTGGGTGTTAAGCAGAAGAGTTGCACTGGTTCTTTTGTTTCCCATACCTCCAGATTCTCTGCCCTTTTCCTCTTCTGCCCTGGAAATCAGATCCCCATAGGGTCTGTTACCTACTCTCCCTTGCCTACTGGCTTCCAGATGGGCTCAGCCAATGCAGTACCTATTCCCTGGGCCCCTTTGCTTCATTGCTGCACCTCTGATAGTAAGTGTATCCCTCCTTGAAAACAGGTCCTGCCAGGCATCCCCTTTGCAGCCCCAACTTTAACTGAATATTTCTTATCTCTTCAGGCCTAAGGATGAATATGGCTTCCCCTGTTTCTAGTCTTTAATTCCACCCATACCTCCAAAGGTAGTGCTTTCATCAAAACTTTTCATTTGAACCATCTAAATTAAAGTCTATTTCCTTTCAGGACCTGACTGATACAGGCGTGATTAGGTCATATTTGTGTTTTACAACAATCCCTCTGGCTGCTTTATGGAAAACAGATTGGAGAATGGCAAAGACTGGCTCCAAGGAGACCAGTGAGGAGGCGGCTATTATTCCGGAGGTAAGAGAGAATGGTGGCCTGGGCTCAGGTGGCAGAACTGGGGTTCAGGAGTGAGGAGTCTAACTCCTGACTAAAATCACATATGTGTGTGTGTGTGTGCAAGGATAAGTAGGAAGGTTACATTTTGCTGAAACCTTGTGTTAAATATGGCTAACAGCACATGTTCTAAGTCAGCCTGACTGGCTTCAACTCTTATAACCCCTCTGACAGGAAGGAGCCAATGTAGCTCCTGATAACCACTATTCTACTCTATTTCTATGATTCTATGAGTAGAATACTGGTTTCTTCCACCTCACTGGGTTGCTATGAGTTAATGAGATAATAAATGTCAAGTGTAGATGCTAGCCCATTACATGCACTCAATAGCTCTTCCTTATTATCAAATCACACCTAAGGCAGGACAATTAAGGCTTTGCCCTAGGGAAGTGAGACTTTAAGGATGCCAAAAATTTAACAAATTTAAAAGTTCAGTTTTCCACATGCTTTTCTGTCTTGGGAAATAGCTACCTTGTCATTTCCACTCCACCACTGGCTAGATTTCTTTGGACCCAGAGCAAGCCCTCTTGACATCAGGATGTCAAAAACTCAACTATAACGATAGTGATTTTAGTTTGGGTACCTTTTTGGACATTATGCAACCATTTCCTCTCCACTACATGTAATATAGCACCACTAATTTGCAGATATGTTCCTTTCGGTTTGTCAGTATTACTATTAGGGCTAGTTCTCTTATCTCCTGTGGTTGGACTTGGAAGGCCAAAGGAGTTTTGAGAAGGCAATTATTTTTTGTGGGAGCCATTCTACAATTCAGGAAAATTGCCCCATGGTGAGTGAATCAATGTGTCTTAATGAATGTTATCTATTTGAAGGCTAAAGTATTTAATATGGGTCCTAATAGCATTATCTGAAGTAGACACTGTTATTAACCTGTTTCACAGATGAGAAAATGTTTCAGCAAAAAAACATTGGGGGCAAAAAAACTTTGTGGGGAGCTCTGCCTCTTGACTCAGAGAGATTTTTTTCACATAACCTCATCTCCGTACTCAGGGAGATGTGATAGACGAAATCTTGACAGGGAATCAGGGGATCTGGGTTGTAGCCCAGCTCTGTGCCTAACAACTGTGTGTGTGTGTGTGTGTGTGTGTGTGTGTGTGTGTGTGTGTAATCTCCATATTTCCTCATCAGATCTTTTAAGTGAAAGTTACTGTAATTCTTTCAAAATAAAGAAGAAATTTTTAATAAAATCAACAAAAAAAGTTAACTTTATGTGCACTCATGCACACACATACACACACACCCACAAACACAGTTTTATTCAATCTTATTCAATTGTGTAAGCTGCATTCCTCAATCAACATAGTTCTGTGTTAATAAGTTTTTCATGACTCCATTATATTCCACATTATGAATGTATCATAATTCATTAATCCAATTATCTGTTAATAAAGAACAGTGCTTATTATGAGTTGTAGATATCTTATATATACAAACCTGCTTAGTGTTCACAACAATCCTATGAAGTAGGTACTATTATTATCCACATTTTCTATATAGGGAAATTAAGGCACAGAGAACGTAAGCAACTTGGCCAAGGTCAGATACTTTATATGTGGTAGAGGTAGGCTCCAGAGTCTGCTTTTGATGATTATGCAAAATTACTTCTCTGAAATTGGGGTTAAATTGATTAGTAGCTAATTGTGAGCAAGGACAAGGTTACATTTTGCTGAGACCTTGTGTTAAATATGGCTAAGAGCACATATTCTAAGTCAGCCTGTTTGGCTTCAACTCTCACTTTTGCTACTTATCAGTCCTATAGCTTTGGCTACACTTCCTAAATCTCCCTTTTTTCATTAAGGTCTCGCTATGTAGGTCTTGCTATGTTGTCCAAGTTGTTTAGGTCCATACAGAACCACTACATTTCTGCCACAATAGATTCAATGGATCAAATTACTTAGTTTTCTCATCCTTGTCCACCTTCAGAAGATCTTTTTGGTTAACCCTTTTGCCAAGGAAACTAAAAAAATAAATTTGAAAAGTTTCTTTTGGTAATGCCAAAATATTTGTTGAACAGATTGTAAGGCCACTTGAATCACATTTGCTCACTCCTGGGCTCAAGTGATCCTGAATAAGAGGTGTTTTAAAGCTGGAGTTACTTTGACAACAAGCATACCTCGCTGACCACTCAGCTGTGTCTTGTCTTGCCTTTGCTGAATTCCACTTATTGTAGCACACTATTATTATGAAAGATGGAAACGAGTTTTCGCATGTGAAAAATGTCTATCAGAGGACAGGAAAACTTTAGTAAAAGTTGGAAGGGAGTTAACACCTGTGGCTTGAGAATACGCACAGAAAACTGGAGACTCTCAGTGGGATCTATGATTTGAGAGAAAGGCACCTGCCTAAACATTTCTATGTTCACAAATAGGGAGATTCGTGACCATCTTGGAACACATTCATGTCGTGTGTTGAAGTTCTATTGTTTTGAACCATGATTTCTTAATAGTTAATTACCCTCAAACTCAGATCAAAACTGATTAAGTTACTCATTAACAGTATGTGATCACTTCCCAAATGTGTCTTTTTCACTTAGTTTACATAAAAGAATGTGATAAAATTCTGCCTTCCAAGCAGTTTTGACCTGGTAACTCACATTCTTGTTCTTGACAAAGAAAAATACCTGCCTGTGCATGTGATTTATTGTCTCACTGAAGCCTACCCTGGCAATAATTGAAATAATATTCTTTTCACATCACTCGAAGACTGATAGAGACAGGTCCAAGTGGCAGGATATTTCCAGGTCTATTTCAGTCAAGTTCTTACCAATATAAGGTTACACAACAATGAAAAATACCTTTTACTTTCTGCATCTCTTTATAGGTAGCATACACCAGCTTTAGTATTCTGAGTTTAGAGATACTTCGTTTTAAACAAAGATGTAAAAGAAGATTTGAGTAAATATATAAAAATATGTATTCTTAAACGGAAAGCTCATTTTAAAAACTTGAGTATCTGAGTAATTCATAGTTTGCCACACTTCCAGTTGAAATTCACACAATCAGGATTTAGAAATGGTCAAATATTCCCTGGTTATGTTTCACCTGGGAAATTAACAAGTAAGATTACTATAAAATGTTTGGAAAAAATAATTAAGATGAAAAAGGGACACTTTCTCAGCTGGGTATTAATGGATCACAACCTAAGGAAGTACAAAGCCTGTATTAACAAGAATTAATGGACAAACTAATGGGAAAAACATAGGCCAAACACGGTGGCTCATGCCTGTAATCTCAGCACTTTGGGAGGCCAAGGAGGGAGGATTGCTTGAGGCCAGGAGTTTGAGACTAGTCTGGGCAACATAGCAAGACACTGTCTGTGAAAGATGAAAGCAAGCAAGCAAGAAAGGAAGAAAGAAGAAAGAAAGAAAGAAAGAAAGAAAGAAAGAAAGAAAGAAAGAAAGAAAGAAAGAAAGAAAGAAAGAAAGAAAGCTGGGCATAGAAGAGTGAGCCTGTCATCTTAGTTACTCAAGAGGCTGAGGCAGGAGGACCACTTGAGTCCAAGAGTTTTAGGCTGTAGCAAGCTACGATTGTATCACTGTACTCCAGCCTGAGAGACAGAGTAAGGCCCTGTCTCTAAGGAAAGGGCGAGGGCCAAGGGAGTGGGATGCCTGCAGAATAAATGACTCTGAAACCATTTCTAATAATACAAGAATTTCATGTTAAGAAAGGAAACTCACAAACCAACTAGAGTTGGATTATGCAGCAGATGGTGATTTCATGCGCCAATTTTTATGAAGACCAATCTGTCTTTTTGTTGTTGTTGCCTGTGTTTTTGTTATCATAGTCAAGAAATCATTGCCAAGTCCAATGTTGTGAAGTTTTTCCCTATATTTTCTTCTAAGGGTTTTATTGTTTTAAGTCTTACATTTAGATCTTTAATCCATTTTGAGGTAATTTTTGTATATAATTAGATAAGGCTTCAACTTTATTCTTTGACATGTGGATATCTAGTTTTTCCAACACCATTTGTTGAAAGACTATTCTTTCCCCCATTGAATGGTCTTGGCTTCCTTGTCAAAAATTATTTAACCATACATATGTGAGTTTATTCTGGGGCTCCAAATCCTAGTTCTTTGATCTGTATGTCTGAAATTATCCCTTTATGGCACTGCCTTTATTCCTGTACCATACTTTTTCAATGACTATAACTTTGTAGTAAATTTTAAAATTAGGAAGTGTGAGTCTTCCAGCTTTCTTCTTTCTTGAGATTGTTTTTGGCTATTCAGGATCCCTTGAAATTCCATATGAATTTTAGCATAGGTTTTTCTACAGAAAAAAATCACTGGAATTTTGCTAGGGGTTGCACTGAATCTGTAGATCTCTTTCTATAGTATTGACATTTTAACAATATTGTCTTCTAATGCACAAACATGAAATTTGTTTCAATTTCTTTATATCTTAATTTCTTTCAGCAATGTTTTATAGTTTTTATTGTTCAAGTCTTTCACTTATTTAGTTAATTCTTAAGTATTTTCTTTATTTTGATGCTATTATAAACAATTTTAATAATTTCTTTTTCATATTGTTCATTTTTAGTGTATAGAAATAAAACTAATTTTTGTGTGTTGATTTGTATTCTACTGAATTTATTTATTACTTCCAACAGTTTTTTGTAGAATCTTTAGGGTTTTCTACATATAAAATCATATCATCTGCAAACAGAGATAATTTTACTTCTTTCTTTTCAATTTGGATACCTTTTACCTCTTCTACTTTCCTAATTTCTCTAGCTAGAACATCTAGTACTATGTTGAATAGAAGCAGAAAAAGCAGACATCTTTTCTTGTTCCTGATCTTGGAGGAAAAGCTTTCAGTCTTTCACCATTGAGTATAATGCTGCCATGAAAATTTTATAAATGCTCTTTATCATGTTGAGGAAGTTCTCTTCTATTCCTAGTTTGTTGAGTGTTTTTATCATAAAAGGGTGTAGAATTTTGTCATATG